TCACAACTTCAAATCCACAAATTCCAACAATTTCACAACTTGAATTCCATAAAATCCATGCAAATTTCATAATTTCCACAATAATAAACATCAATTCCATAAACTAATAACAATTACACGTTCACAACTTGTAAAAAGCAACCTTAATTATCACCTAATTATGAAAAATTAAAATTAAATAGTATAGAAACTTACCAAAATTTTAAAAAAGATATTGTATATTGATAAAACCTACAAAATAATAATAAAACAAAATAGACAAATTAATAAAAATAATAATATAACTATTAATACAAAAAACCATACACCCAAATAACACTAAAAAGTTCTAATCAATATACTAAAAATTTTAAATAATATCAAATTAAAAAAATAAAAACAAAAAACCTAATATATAACAAAAAAAAATCTCATAGCTAGAGTTTTAGAATAGAGAGGATTAGTGGGTTTGTTTGGGATGGAGTAAGGAAAGAGAAGGGAGGAGAAAGAAATAAGAAAGGGAGGAGAATGGAAGAAGAGAAGTGATGTGAATGAATGGGGGAAAATGGAAGAGGAGAAGGAAGGAAAGGCGGTTTGGGTTGGATTCGAATTGAACCAATAGTGGGGAGACTCTAGCAATAGGTAAGAAGTGGGAGTGGTAGGTGACCAGCTGGTTGAGAGTGTAAAAGAGGGGTTGGGGAAAGAGGAGAATGGGAGGGAGAAAAAATGAGAAAAGAAAAAAAAAAAAGAAAAAGTTTTAAACTTTTATCGATGGTGTTTTTGTGATGGAATTTCCATTGCCCTAGGTCCATCGTTAAAAGTCCCTTTCACCAATTTTCTTATTTTTTCCAAATATTTTTAGTAAATAGTACTTTTAGCGACAAAATTTCGTTGCTAAAAACACATAATTCTATCACTAAAAGTCTATTTACTAATTTGTGAATTATATTTATTGAAAGACAATTAGTGACGAAATTTTCATTGCTAATTTGGCACTAAGGGCTAATTCATAGTGAAAAATTAGCAACAAAAAATTCATCTATCAGTAATAATGTGGCATTAGCAATGAAAGTCCATCATGAATTTTGTCACTAAAAGTTATTTTAATTTATGTCAAATTTCGTTCCTATTTACACAAATTTCTTCACTAAAAGTAACAATATTGACAAAAAAATTTTATTGAAAATTTTCCATCTATGAGTATATTTTCTTGTAGTGAAGGGCTTAAAATAAATAGAGAATGTACATGCACCTAAAACATTTTATTGAATATTGGTTAATATATGATTACAAAGTTTAACTTAGTTGGTAGATGTAGTCATTTTTAAAAGGTGACATTCAGATTAAGCACCTATAACCTTTTTCCCTATCCTCATATTTCATTTTTTTATAGAAAAAATATTGGGTAATATATGCATTTATATTTAAAGAGTTGGCCAAAAAAATTGTGCAAGTGTCTAGAACCTAATTTTGATCCCACAATGGTGTGGTCTAATTCTTAATTTAGACCCGTATCAACATCAAGGAGATCTAATTTGAATAGTGGGGAGTGGAGAGCAAAGATCACATTCTCACATATCCTATCTGATAATTGATTTTTCCTCGGAACTCAATCTAATTTGCACAAAACAGTACGAATTTCATGTATATCTCTTACATGTGCATTTAAGGTGGACCACCATTCATTTTAATCAAAGTCTTCCCAATAATTCGCTGCAACCAATGACCGAAAAGGAAACAGTTGCATTTTCAAAGATTAAAAAATTTAAACTTCTACATTTCATGAATGGAAACCAAGGTCTCAAGTACATAATTAGATTTGAGAGTTTGGAAGATGAGGTAGGATAGAGATCAAATCTTCAAATCAAACGCTCTCTTTTTCTATGAAGAGAGAGGGGATGATTTTATAGTTATATCGTCCGTAATAGAAATAATATTTATTTTTTATAAAAATAACATAATTTAAAATAAAAAAGGGTTGCATATATTGTAATTTGAATTTTAAATTTATTAAATGTTATTTTTAAAAAAATAATTGCATGAATGAAATTAAATTTTATATTCGAAATAATGTTTTTATTCATTGAAAACTATTCAATTTAAATTTTCAAATCTATCTTTTTGAGTCTATTTAATAAGATTGATAGAAGGGATTTTTATCGTATCAGAGTGTTGTCTACCATTACCAAACAGGCTCTTTAGTTTCAAGAATATTGTTTTGGCCATTTAAGTCAAGAAAAGAGATTAACAATGCCTAATTCAACATAATGGGTCCATATGGGATTTAGAACTTGTCTGAAGAAAAGAATAAACCATTAGCGGCAGTATCCAACTTTAGACGATTCCTTAACGATGGTAGTGGATGCTAGCTAGGCCGTCCATTCCCACTAAAACCATGCAATTTTTGTTTTCATTTGAACCTCTCCCCATCGTATTCTTCTTTTTGTAACAATACTTGTCTTTTTCAAGTACTACTCCATAATGATAGACATGTTGACCGGTAAATCACTGCTCAGAATTTTATGAAACAAAACAAAGAGGTGAAAAAAAAAAAAAAGGTTAGAAAAGTATGGTAAAAAAAAGAGGTAGAAATAAATGGATAGTAAAAAGGTTCGAGAAAAAGATTTTGGGCTAAATTGGATTATAGGGTTAAGAATAGGTGTAGGGCTAATCTGGATTTTTTATTTTTTGGTTTTTGGCACAAACTTTCCAAGAGGGGTTCGTTGTGAGATTGCTTGGTTGAACTGAATGATAAGATGCCGAGACCTGGATGTAATAATTTGCTAGGTGCTTCGTGACAGATTGCGATGTTTCTCAGCTTCGTTAATTACTTTTCCATCAATCAACCACAAGGTATTTGTTTTTTTTATTATTATTATCATACTAATTCATAGTTATAGTAAGTACTATTGGTAGCAGTACTAATGCTTTATATAGGAAAAAAAATATAAAAAGATCAATTGAGATTCAATTGCTTACTTTTAATGTTTTTTAATGGGAGGAAGGCAAAAAAAACATGAATTTGTTTTTAGTAGAAAATTTTTTTATTTTTGAGATTATAAAATTTTTCATTCATAAAAAATATAATAAATAAATTTAATTAAAATAAAATTATATTTTATAATTAATATTGATATAAATTACAATATAATAAATTTTATATTTAATACAAAATAAACATTAAAAAAAAGATTACCAATTCTTATAGAAGAAAATATTGGTGGGCACTGACCCACAAGCGGAAGCCTTGTGGTCCAAATACGAGCAACATTCGAAATCTTTTGAAATCATGAATGGTGAATTCTCGGTAACATGTTAAGCATATGGGCTTAATGTTCCAAGAGAATTGCTCCCTCAGAGAAAGCAATTCAACAAGGCCCACTAGGCCAACTTAACTATTTTACATTTTATTGAATCAAATTGGATTTAATTTTTTTAATAATATATAATATTATGAACTTTTAAAATTTGATTAGGATTTATGTCAATTTTTAAAAAAATAAATCTGATTATAATTAAATTTTATTGATTAGATTTATCAATTTTCAATTTTAATTGTTAAATATTATTTTAATATAATTTTTTTATATATTTAAATAAATTAAGATTTAAAATAATTATTTTTATTTTATATAAATTTAATATATATAAACTAATAAAAATATATAATTTGGTTCAATTTTTTTATTTGAAATACAACCTTAACTTAATATATTTATTTAATATTCAAATTTAATTTTAACCAAATAAAAAAAATTAATTCAAATTAAATAAAATATTACAATTTGATTAAATCAAATATTATAATTTGGTTCAATTTATTTCATATTTTTTCTCACTCCTTATTGAACATCAGACCCAACCAAGTCCTGGAGTTGGTCCTGAAGCAGATTTGGTTTAGCTCGTAATACTCTTGAGACATGATACTGTAGCCTATCATATGCATTATCAGTTGCCAATATCTTCAAATATTCAGAGGTGGTAATTGGGTGACTTCAGATTGATTTGATTTTGGGTTCATATAATTATAGATAAGAATTATTTTGGGTTTAAGGCATCTCACATTTTAATCATTTTGAATTTAGATCATTTTGAATTCAATTCATTTCATATATGATCAATTTTAAATTAACTACAATTCTAAACTTTTTAAGTAAAATTAAAATTTTTTAAAGTTCAAGTTTGGATCATTGCAATTTTGAGTTATTTATAATTCAGATCACTTAAGATTTGAGCTTTTGAGGTTAGAAATGTTTTAAATTCAAAATTTTTGAATCAAAATTTTGGTTTTTTTAATAAATCTAGATTATTAGATCAATTTTGATTTCAAAAAGGTTTCGATGATTTTTTATTAAGATAGATTTTGCCATCTCTAAAAATAATTCCCTTTCAAGCCCAAGTGATTTTGCTTTTCTTAGGGCTAAAAAATATATTATATATAGGGTTATCTATTTTATCTATATGTGATAAATATTTAAAATTTTTACTCGAAAGAAGATGGGAATTATATCAAATTAAAAAGATGGGTATTAATATCAAAATTTGAAGATGGCAACAAGGGTGGGCATGATTTTGACATACCCGATGGATATAGCGACGGGTATTATAAGATGCATCTCGTATTTGTATATGATATATATTTATATATTTTAATAAATATATAATTAAATATTTAATGTGTTCATTGTTTGTAAGTTTTTAATTAGTGTTTGAACTTGTTTTAATGTAATTTTTTATTTGTTTTAATGATGATTAAATATTTTAATATTTTGCATTATTTAGAAAAAAAAAAAAAGGCTACCATTATAAAGATTTCTGATACATGTTAATTCTCCGCGTATGAAAATGGGTATAAATTTTTATCTTCAAACAGGTGCGGGTGTAATTTATAAAAACAGAGACAAACACGTACATGGAAAATGCTCTTCTTGATCCATTGATACCCCTTTTTATTCAGTTGGAGCCCAAGCCTGCATGCCTCACTAACCGACCTTATGCTACAAGGCCTAGTAGTGAAAAGCAAGCCCAGATGACATTTGGTTACAGATGGTAAACTAAGTTTGTCGTTCTTCATTTTAGAACCGCTAGACTAGAATCCCCAAGAAAAAAAAGTACCTCTTTGGAAAATGCCGTGGATCCTGACTATAATAGGCAATGATCTTACAATCTTTTATACATACTTTCTTAATGGAAGAATATCAGTTGAAAGGGACACAGGAAGTAAGCAATGAATTATAGAAACCAACAAGAAGCTCAGAATATCATAAACGGGTGACAATAAATAATAAAATCATGGCAATAATGTTATATACAACCTGTAAATAACTGCCATCAACCATTAGTGAACTCCATTATTCATTCCTCCTAAACTGTCTGACAGACTTACTGATGTGAGATGAAAATTTCCATAAAAACATAGGACAAACAAACAATGCTGCTGCTTGATGCTGGAGTTTCTATTTGCTATCTGGATCTTGGAACTCTGAAACCCTGAGCATCAGCTTCTTCTATAGAAATCAAGCAACCATAGCCAGAAACAACACCAGTATTATCACCCAATGACATTTTCCTAGTAGCTTGGAGCCTGCTGAGAAAAATAGCAACATTATCACCCAATTCAGATTGGGTTTTTTTCTTCAGTTCTTAAAATTCAGGAGTGAAAACTGGAAAGATGTTGCTTTCTAAATGGTCACAAAATTTTCAGATCTCCCAAAGAGAGAAGTAAAGGGTTTAAGTAGGAAAGCAATGGAAACACATTTAAATCGATTTAAGAGCATCATTAAATGATGTTTTTGTTTTGGCAAGAAGAAAAAAAGAAAAAGATCTATGCGCTTAATTTTACCTTGATTCACATCATTTTGAGACGTTGGTGCTGTGGAAGTAGACCTATTTGACATTGAGATCCCAAGTTCTGCACAATCCAGTCCAATTGCACCTTAAAATCACAAAGTTCAAACTCAATTAGCAATTTTCTTTTGGAATGCGAATAGGAACATACATTAACTGGATACAAATGCAAAGATAAGGTGTTTACGGACATTACAAAATTTAAAAAATAAAAAAAAAAATTTGAAAGAAAAATTTTTCTGGACATTCTCAGAAGTTGTCAGTGAGCACCTCAAAAATTTCCCTGAACATATCTTTCTTAATTCCCTAACCACTCAATTCATTGCAACTGCTCAATACCCTGCCAGCGCGCAGGCATTCAACACCCAGCAAACACCCACTGTAATAAGTGGACATCCCGGATAAAAATCCTGAATCCATTATGGATAACATACTATGAACCACCCAAAATTGACACTACAGAAACAAGAAACCCTATGTCTTACAGCCACCTCTAGATTTCTCTTAACTATTATATATAGGAGTATGTTCTTACATTCTCTGTAGCATGGGAAGGCAGAAACATTAAGGAGATTAAAATAACCCTCTGAACATTTGCAATCATATGTAAACGGTGATGTCTTGTTGCACGAACCGCCTCCACAATTAGTCCAGCGGCAGACTGTGAAACCATGACAAAATGCATTAAGCATGAAGAAAAAGATATCAAATTACCAACTAGAAAGCTTACATATATGGTACAGAGCTTACTATCAAAGATAGACTGATCTGCTTTTGTTTGCTTTTCTTGCACAGGGGAGAGAGCTGCTGCACAAGCAGAATTTAGCCTACCTAAAAACACAAAATTGTCAGTGCCATCAAAACTCGAAATAAACCCTGAAATAATTTGATTGCTATTATTTATCAAATGTAAATTAATCGATTACATCGTCAGATCAGCAATCTAGCTTTTTAAAGGAGGATTAAACTTTACAATGTTTGACTTAGCTAAGATATTAAATCAAATATGGACAAGAGTTTGGTTACCCTTATTCAAGAGGCACCCGTAGTGGCGGATGCAAAATGCAAAAATAAAGTGCTTATAGACTTATCAAAATTGAAAAATAATTAAATTTGAAGGAAATTAACAATTCAAAATTTTCTTCTAAATATAAATTTATTAATTCTCTAATCAATCTACATAATGCCACTACCCAATATTCAGTTATAGCCTACAACCAACCAACACCTAAAATCCAATAGACACCCATTGCAATAAGTGAAAACAGTGAAAAAAGTTTTGAATCCGTTGCTGAGATCTCATCATGACATAATCTTGGGAGGATTTGGGTGTGATTAGCATGCATCACCGGCTTGAATTAAATTATTGATTTTCTATATATCTTCCTTCTAATTGTGAACATAATATTTTTTTGGCTTCTTTCATCAGCAAATCTGAATCCAGCTTTTGACTCCTCAGCGGTATATCTATTCCAAAATTAAGCTAACACCGTCCTTGGTTTAAAAAAAAAAAAAAAAATCAGAAAGAAGCCTAATTAAACATAAAGTTTAACTCAATTAATTTACAGTCATTTTTAAAAAATTGATATTAAGTAATTTTAAAATTTAAATTTCAATATCTGTGATAACATTTAATAATTTTAAGATTTAAATTTTAACACTTGTAATCCTTTCTTTTTTATCTCCGGATTGACAATATCTTCACAAAAACAACAACCTAACCTAATCATGACGTAGCTGGGTAAATCAATGGTTCCATCCACTCTAAATTCCCCACAACAATCCCAAGATCACTTCTAATTTCCTAAACTAAAAAATTATGTAGATTCCATTGGAGAGCATCACCAAGTTAATTCCAAATTCACAAAACATTAACATAATTTGATTATATATACAAAGATACTAGCAATAACCAATGAAGAAAGAAGTTAAAAACAGATTAATAATTGTATGAATTGAAATAGGTAGTTTTGTAAATGAGCATGTGCATAAAAGCAAGAGAAAGGAAGAGCTTAATTACAGTTGGGAACAATGCAAGGGAGAAACTTGAGATAATCATCATTGTCAGCACGAATTTGTTTCCAGCCAAGATCACAGTCACATATATAATAAGGCAATGTTCCATTCAAAGAAGGTTTGCATTTTCCTCTTCCACATTCCACTTCTTTGCATACATCATCTGCAACAATAAGAAAAACAACTAAAAATATTATCAAAACTCTTAAAAAAATCACAATCAAGGAACACCCAAGTTAATAAAATGCTCTAAGATCTAAAAACCATTAGATTTTCAGCCAAAAAAAAAATGAAAAAGGAAAGAAACAAACCAAACATGGGTGAAAAAAGCGGAGATAAAAAGTCACTTTTAGCAATCTTAAGATGCAGAACATGAAAGATTGCAAGAAAAACAATGGTCCTCAAAGAAACCATGTCTGGAACATGCAAGGATAGATGAGAATGAGAGAGACAGGGAGGTAGGTACTAGTTTTTTTTAATGAGTTCGAGGCGGCTGAGAGAGTTTGAAAAATAGGGGAGTCTTCTATATATGGACGGTGCTTTGATTGTTGAAACATGGACGTTAAAACGTTTACGTGGTGACCATGGTCTCGGCCAAACTGAGTCGTTGATAGTTGGAGGTTCCAAGCCATTAATTTCTCTGCGGTAGATTTCATTTTAAAATATTTCAGTTTTGTGCGATCACTGAACAGTGAACACGACCATATTGACTCTCTCCCCTGCTTGTAGAAATAAAGGCTATGCTTATTCTTTATGTGGGGTGGATTTTAACACTTAAGAGGAGTCAATTAATATTATATTATATTATATTATATTTTTTTATACTATTTATTATATCACATATATATAAATAATATACTAATATATGTAAATAATTTTAATTTTTGAGAGAGTAATTTAAGTTTATTTAATATATATATATATATATACACTAGTATTTGACATGTGTGTGATGTACGTGTAATTTTTATATTTAAAAATTTATTCTAATAAATAATTTTTTTGATACTATAATAATAATGATAAATAATAATAATTTAATTTTACTTTTAGTATAATATAAGTAAAATTTGATAATTTTTTACATAATTTTGATTTCGATAACCTTTGATAAAATTTTGGTAACTTTCGATACAGTTTTAGTAATTTATGACATAAGTTTAGTAATTATTGATACAATTTTGGTAATTTTTAATAAAATTATAGTAACCTCTTGAGTTAGTTTTAGTAATATTTTGATAACTTATGATATATTTTCGATAATTATTGATAATATTTGTATTATCATATTTTAACAATGAATTCTTATATAAAAGCACGAGTTCAGTTCTAGTATAAGATAATTTTTTTAATATAATAATATTATTATTTCATTCAAATTTAGAATATTTTCACTAAACTATTTTATTGAATAAGTTTATAATACGTTTATCCTAATTTTCCAAGACAAAATTTTTAAATCCATTTTTATTAGTAACCAAAGATTTAATTCTTGACAACTTTATCATTTACTACTAAATTATTAATGATTTGTTATAAAGTTATAACTGATTTACTATTAATTTATCAATAATTTATTATAAAAGTTATCAATGATTAACTAATTTACTACTAAAGTATCACTTATTTACAACTAAATTATTAACGATTTACTATTAAATTATCAATAATTTACTATTATGTTATTATACATTTATCACTATGTTATCATTGATTTACTACTTAGCTTTCAATTATTTATTACAAAATTAACCATAACTCATTATTAAGTTATCATTTATTTATATTAAATTATCCATAATTTACTATTAAGTTATCATTAATTAATTATTAAGTTATTTATGATTAACTACTATTAAGTTATATTGATTTTCTTTTAATTTTTCAATGATTAACTATTAAATTATCATTGATTTACTATTAAATTATTTATGATTTACTACTAAATTTATCAACTGATTACTATTAAACTGAAACCGATTTATTATTAATTTATCACTAATTTACTATTAAGTTATCATAGGATTTATTATTAAGTTATCAATTATTAACTACTAAATTATTATTTATTTTTATTAATCTATCATTGATTTACTAATATATTGCTATGTATTTACAACTATGAAACATGAAATTTAAAAGTCTACTAATAATATATGAGATAATTTCTTTTTATGTAATAATATTATTGTTTTATTCAAGTTTATAATTTTTCATTGATTTTTTATTGAATATGTTCATGGTAGGTTTATCTTAATCCTTAAAATGAAAGTTTTGACTTTGTTTCTGCTAGTACCCAGAGTTCAATTCCTGATAACGTCAAGTATAATAAAAGTTATCAATTCATTGACAATTAAGTTATCAGTTATTTATTATTAAGCTATCAATATTATATCACTAATTTATGAATTATTTGTCATTAAGTTATAAATGATTTACCAATCATTGTTAGTGATTTATCACTAAGTTATTAATAATTTATTATAAAGTTATAATTGATTTACTACTAATTTACTAATGATTTACTAAAAAGTTATCAATGATTATATGATTTAGTACTAAATTATCACTAATTTACAATTAAGTTATTAGTAATTTACTATTATATTATTAGTGATTTACTATTAAGTTATCAATTTACTACTAATTATCAGTTATTTACTATTATATATATTTATTATTATTTTATTATTGATTTAATAATTAATTTTTAATTATTTATCTGAAAATTATTATTGATTTACCACTAAATTATCTATAATTCACTACCAAGTTATTACTATTTTATATTAAATTAATGCATGATTTATTATTAAGTTATCAATGATTAACTATTATGTTATCAATGATTTACTAATAAGTTATGCTGATTTACTTTTAAGTTTTCAACGGATAACTACTAAATTATCAATTATTTACTATTAATTTATAATTAATTTACTATTAAGTTATTTATTATTTACTACTATTAATTAATTACTATTAAACTGAAACTCATTTACTATTAAACTATCATTAATTTACTATTAAATTATTATTGATTTATTACTAAGTTATCAATAATTAACTACTAAGTTATCATTTATTTTTTGTTAAGTTATTATTCTTAATTTAGTATTATACTGTTATGCATTTATAATTATATTATAATTAATTACCATTAAAGTATTATGCATTTATTATTGTATTATTATGAATTTGCCAAAAAGTTATCAACTATTGACTATTAAATTATCATTCATTTATTATTAAGTTATTACTAATTTACTACTAAGTTATAAATAATTACTAATAAGTATAGACACTGAATTTTGTTTGAAATATTTTTTAACATGATTGACCCGAGACTCATTTGTGAACATGAGCTGAGACCATTTAGGACCTATAAAAAGCTCACAAATTTACCTATTCAGAAATCCAAAGTCAATTTGGGTCAAATCCGGTCAAACAAAGTCAAAATTACACAAAATTTAGTCAAAATGGAAAGAGCCCATCAATTCTAAAAATCCAACTTCAGATCTCAATTTTAGAACATTTAATGATTTTTGTTGTATTTGAAATCACAACAATACCTCGAGAAGTGTGAAATTATTAAAATACCCTTACAAGGGTATTTTTGTAATTTAGCTTTCTCGAATTCAAAATTTCATGAAACTTTTTAGATATTAATTTTATAACATTTCATGATTTTTGGTGCATTTGAAATCATAACATTACCTCAAAAAGTATGAAATTACCAAAATTACCCTTATAAGGGTATTTTTGTAATTTGACCTTCTCAAGTTCAGATTTTCACATAACTTTTCAAATCTTAATTTCATGATTTTTTGTGTTTTAAAATCCCAAAAATGAGCTTGAAAACATTGATTTCTAAGAAAATGACCTAAATACCGAAAACTTTACATTAGGGGTAAAATGGTTTTTTCATGGGTTTGGAGGGCATAAAATTCAACATTTACAGTAAATAATATGAACCATTGGAACTCCTTTGAATTTTGATCCAATGGTTAAAACTTGTTCCTTGAGAAAAGAAAGAAAGATATTTTAGCCCTTGGATGTAACTTAATCCAAGGGCTTATATTCATTAAGAAACAAAGCTTTTTTTTTTTTGAAACAAAAAGGCAAGTACGGGGAACAAGCTGATGGGCTGAAGTGGAGGAACAATACTTGCAACAAATGACAAGAGACATGGTTAGTGGAGCAAGAAAAAAAATAAACCTTAGAGCCTTGAGAAACAAGGCTAGGAAGCTTTAAAAAGAAGTTTTCTGGAGTTTAGGAGAGGTTGGTCGAAAAAAAAAAGGAGAAAAAAGCTTTGAGTAAAAAAAAGAAAGTTAAACACAAAAGTAAAAAAAAAGGAGAAAAGCTAAGTAAAAGAAAAAAAAAAGATTTTTACAAGAAAGTTTTGGAAAGGTAAGAGTTTTTCACAAAACAAAAAGAGAGAAACTAACTTCTAGAAAAGTTCAAAAAGATGAGGTAAGATAGCCCATGACCATGGTCATATAAGAGTATATGCTTGCCATTCTCTATCATTGGTTGTGACACCATTTTTGCACCTGCCATTGTATCTTCTATAAAATGTTCATAGTTTCTCCTTGAATGCTTTAACTTTGGCGTGTATGTTGATAAAGTTAGGGGTTTTATGTGTTTTATGTTTATGTTTTTTTTACAAAATGGTTGAAACTTCATCTCATTTTTCTAGAATTGCCAAACAGCTCTTACTTCTTCTAATGGTAGCAGCAATCGGGCTCACTCTACAAACTTTTCCACCATTGCTTTTCTAATTTAAAGTTGTTGCTTTTCCATATTTCATGACTAGCTTTTAGTTAGCCTAGGCTAAGGCAAATAAAAAGACTTGAAAATTAGCTTGGAGTAACCAAACCATGCTGTTTGGCTTTCCATAAGCAGTCATGGTTTGGATGTCTTTCCACACAGCCCTATCCATTTAACGTGGAAAGAAGATTTTAACAAAAAATGGTTTCCAAAGTAGAGAGTGATAAGTTGTTGGAGGAGGAAAAAAGGTTTAAAAGTTTGAGTTTTTCTTTTCCAGCTCATTGTTTCACGTGGAGGGTCTTGTACAAGTCATAAAGCTTCATGTTTTTTGTTATTTTATGGTTTCTTTTTTCTGCATAGGGTCTATTTTGGCTCGTTCTTGTTATTGATTATATAAAGAATGTGGAGAACTGAAAATAGGCCATATGTAGGGCAAGCCTCACGTGAATTGTAGGTTGTTACATTATTATATTTGTTTGCTTGACTTCCTTACATGCTTTTTTCTATTCAATCAACGTATGAAACATTCATAGATATTGGGAAAACATCACGTGTACTATACGGTCCCACCATTATTTGCTTATCATTCTTGGTGTAAAGAAAGTTTCATATGCATTGCATAGTTTTCTTGGGTATGATATCTACTACATGTTCTAAAAAATATAATTATAGTAGTAATACTAATGCTAAGGTGAATAATGGAATAATAACACAATTTAGTTAGGGTATAAGAATATTTAAG